ACATTAAAATGTATTTCTAAACTCTTTTAAATTCGGGCTCGCTGCTGCTGGTAACCCGAGAAATGAGAAATACATTTGGTGTGACTCGATTTGGTGACTCAGGAAATCCATTTTCATGAGCAGCTCAATTCTTGTTACTTGAATTAAAGTTATTAAAAGAGAGATAGTGCACTTGTTGCTAAATCTTTTCTAAAGACAGTTGTGAGGTGAAAAGTAGTAAATATAACACAGAGTAAAATGAAAGTGTTTTTTTTTTTATGTTATCAGTAAGATACCTTCTATTTAGCTGTCAGTTTCTGTTTTTGGTAGCTCCTTTTCAGACTGCTTTTTTGGAAGAAGCGTCGTAACTAAGCTCTGCCTTTAGCTGTTAGCGGTTATTGAAGATGTGTTTTCACCGACAGTTTTGGTTGTTTGTATTCATGTTTGTTTGGATGTTTACTCATCTAAATTGTCAATCACTTCTTTGTTCTGCCATAGTAACACTTTTCTCCAAACTCGGAAAATAACAGAAAAAAGCAGTACACTACTCCTGACTCTCTCTCTCTCTCTCTCTCTCTCTCTCTCTCTCTCTCTCTGGTGGATAAACCACTGCTTGATGACATAATACCAAAATACTGCAAATGCAGGAGCTTACATCACCATTGTGTTAACTTCTGACAAGAATAAAGAGACGTTTAATCGTCTGAAAATCCTCTAGATTATAATGTCTGTAATCACGCCTTCTTTGACCTCCTTTTTGGTCTCCACCAACTCCTGAGGAAAAGTTATCGGGCCTCCAGCTGTGAAAGGCTCATTTTGTTCATCAGCTATTTGCTTAATTTGTCTGTTGGTTGTGTGGTGTGAGACAGGTACGTTTCAGAGGCTTGTACAGGAGAATGTTTGCTGAGTTTATATCTTGGAACAACCCATATGAGAGCAGTAACTTACGATATGATACCTGGCAGACAACGGTGATAATATATTGATATAGTGATTCTACGATAACTGATACTGCAAGACGAACAAATGAACAATGAAAACAAAACACTTTGGTCCAGAAACAATGAGTAGAAAGATGCTAAAATGCTAAGTACGCTTGCCTGGTCAATAATACTGTTTTTAAATCAATTATTTATACAGAAATAATGATCAACTCTGCTTTGAACTCAAATAATTACCAGTATGACCTCTTTAATTTTCCTTCTCTTCATTTTCTGGCAGTCTTTCCTTGAGGCGATCATTGATCCATGAAATAATTAACCCCGTATATCTCAGTAATGAGCATGTTCACCTACAGAAGAAAGTTTAGAAGTCAAGAAACTGGCTCCTAAACATAAAAATGTATCAGAACTTCTTCAGCTGCTGATCTCTGTAGCACCGACAGCTGCTCATTTCCATACCCCTCCTCACAGTCTTAATCATTAACCAGAGAAAACACTGTAAATTTCACAGGATCATGTTTGGTTCCGTCGTTGACCCGGCTGCTACACGGACAAACACACGGCTCGTGAAAATCACAAAGCCTTCATTAAGGCTCATATTCATACAGCTGTTGTGTGCATACCACTTCCATCCCACACACTCGTATCTCATCTTTGGTCTGTCTGCCAAGTCCCCCCCACCCCCACCCCTTTCCACTGACAATTTCCATAGCAACAACCCCCCGCTCCTCTCTCAGCTCCACGATGCCAGGATGACAGTGCTCCATGCCCACTCTCAGGCACCATTCAAGAGACAAACCCTCACGAGCTCACAAAAAACAGGCTGATCTGTAACTACGGACGGCCAAGATTGTAGTCGCTGCAAATGAAATTGCCTGTGAATTAGTTCCAACGTTTGGAAAGGCTCAGAACTTTTCTTTAGTGCACTTGAGAAGTTGCAGAAGATGGATGAACTAAATATGTGAGCCAACCACTCGAGTGTTTGATGAACTATGTGGATGATCCTCTGCCTGTTTGCATTTCCTCATCCAACACAAATAAAAGAGAACAAAAAGCCCAACGTCACACCTGGCACAAAGCGGTGCACAGTGCAAGTGTCTTGACTTTTTTTTCAGACCAAGCAGTTATCATTTCCACATCCACTTTGTTTAGTGGCGCCGATCTGTGCTCAACGAAGCAGGCTGTCTAAAACGAGTCTTGACAGGGGTCTTGGTGGTGCATGCTATCTAACAACAGGATTGATTCACTTAAGCATCTCGACTTTTATTGGACATTTCAGTATTTTTATTCCCTGGGATTGATAATCGTTATGTCACATCACTCAACAGAAAAACAGCCGACGTGAACCCGAAAGCAACCATCCTGTTGCCTTGTTGTGTGCACGTTACATTTACTTTAGTAGGTTATTGGATACGTGCTTTTACTAATACTTGTTTTTGTAGCTTTTAGCGATGTTTGAATTTGTTTTGTTTTCTTAGGGAGCCTTTTATAAAAATCTGGCCAGGGACAACAGATGAAAATTAGCCTTTTGGCTAACTCTGGTATATTTACAGAAATGTTTATCAATATGCAATGTCCCTGTAAAATACAAATAAATAAATAAATAAATGGTTTTACTTTTGCTTTTGATTTGTTTGGTTTTTTTTAAAGCAAAAAAATCAATACTGTACACCGCAAATTTTTATTCATTCCAATACAAATCAACTCAGGACCCAAGAATCAGCACGCCCTCATGCTGATCGCTCACATGCTGATGTATATAGCTTTCAAGTTGAACATGGTTGCAATCACAGTTTAGCATATTAGCTTGCTAGCATTGTCTTATCCCTGTGTCTCATGGGAGGGTCGTTCATTTTGCAGGAATTTGGTTTTAAACCAACGTACAGAAAGATCAGCAGCTTCGACTGAAGCGAGGTCTGAACACCTGGAACACGTTTACAGTCACTGATGGTCAATTTAAGACATCTTTTGAGCTTTTTGGATCCTTTTTAGTTGAGTTGTGCAGCTGGAGGTTTTTCAGCTGACAGCAGCGAGCAGATGAGAGTTGTGATATCATTGTTCTGTGCTTTTAGAGCCGTCACAGGAGATTAACGGGGAGTGATGAGAAAAGACTTTAATCTTCTTCTGGATGATTTGCTTGAAAAATCCTTTCAATCTTTATAGAAACTAAGGGCTCTGATCTAAGAGTTACCTTCCTATAGTGTATCAACTACTTGAAAATATGGCACAGAGGGAAGTTGAGCCCTCAATTATGACCAGAAGACAAACTGATACCATCTGTGGGAAGCTAGTGGGTTTGTTTCCAGGGAAAACTGATTTATTTTTGCATGTATCGAGTACCACTAAGTCGTGATTAAGTACTACTAGGTTGATCAATTTGAAAACAAGATGATATGACATATGGTCTCCGTGCAGTAGGAACTTTATATTGAGTTGGCATCCAAATATTTATCGACTTTAAGCTGTCTAGCTTTCTCTAGTTTGCATATCAACTGCATGTTTTGTTTCGAGTACCCGCCTCTTGTTCTAGCACTCTTAGCTTGTGTTTGTCAGCATAAATCAGTCTTATGTGTTCCTGTGACTCCTGTTTCAATGCCTTGATTTGTGTTGAGGGAAAAGTGTGCTTCCTGCTCATGTTCACAAATAAAAAAAATCCCTGCGTATCACGAAGCATCGCCGACCCCTAATCCATCAAAAAATAATATTACCCTGACATGACAATAAACCTGAGTATATATTGAACATGGTGTTCATGACGCAGATGGAGACTCAATCATGTCGTTTGGCCGGAAAGAGCATTTTTGATCCCAGAAGGGATGTGAAGATGCCAGATAAAAACTGAGCCTGGGAAAGAAAAAAAAAAAGGGATCACTATCTTAGAGCCTGTAAAGACTTCCAGGCTTTTCATGTAAGTCATTTTAACTAAACGGATTCATGCCAAGTCATAATATCGCTCTGACTTTTTTTATGCACTACCGGTAAAATCTTGTTTTATTCACTCGTTTTTTTTTACTGTATCTAAAAATTGACAACACATCTCCACCTCCTCCCGTTGTACAATATTGAAGCCAAAATATTCCCCATGATAGTTGCTAACATTTTGCACATTTAGAGCAAAAAGTCTGCGATGTAAAAATCGGCTGAAGGACCTGTGTAATTAACGTCCCGCCCCTTCCACTTACCAAATCACACAATTAAAATGATCACTTTAACAGCAGGTTGGTACAGTACACAGCAGAACTCTGCTAATCCAGAGCATGATCAGAACTTTATACCTCTTTTTATAGCATCAAATAACTCAGAAAAACAACAATTATTTAGTAGAAGTGAAAACTTAGACATAATTTAGCATGATAGGAATGAACTATAATGACATAAACCATCTTTGGAAAAAAGTATTTGATGTGTTTTTTTTATTTTGTTGTGTGAGCAATGTCCCATCTGTTTACGTGGAGGGGGCGGAGCTTATGACCTATACTGCAGACAGTCAGCAATGGCGGGAGCTCAAAATGTTTTGGCTTCACTCCTGAGAAACTATCATGCTGTCTTTCTTTTTATTCAGGAGGATGGGAGCTGGACTAGTTATACATTAATGGAAATTGATTTTGATTTATGATTATTTTTTTAACATTTACAATCCATTTGTGTATGTCAAGGATTGCCTTCAGTCTAAAGCAGTGGTGTACAGTCGGATGAACATCTGACTTCTCCATCTTTCTTGGTTGGACAAATCGTATTACTCAGTGACAGGAATAGAAACAAAAAGGGTATAAAATGAATTATCTCAGCCTCTGCCTGTCAGTCAGAAACCTTATGTCCTCCCATGCGCTTTGCATTAAATGGGGGGCCGATTGCAAGATGTGACTGCGCTGTGATGGAGGATAACACTGATGATAGGAGGAGAGAGAGGGGAGCAAGGTCGTGTCCTTTGTGGGAATCAGAAATAGACTCGCAAGACCTGAATTTTAAACAGAAGGGATACCCACCGCTGATAAAAGTGGAAGAACAATCTGAGGGAATAACACTCAGACAAAAGGAATAAGCTGCTTCTAAATGTGTGTGTTGTAAGGCTAAACTCACCTTGACCATGAAGTTGCCGTCATCCTCCGGTGTCACCATCACAACGGAGTCATGCAGCTTCTCCTCAAAGTGAACATGCGAGGGGGCTCCAGCAGCGGGGGGTTCCTCTGAGAAGCGCACGCCTCCCGTCTTCACACCACCTGAGAGAGAGAACGAAAAGAGGGGAGAGTCACTGAAGGTGTGACTACACAAACACACTCACTGGATCACTTTAACAGGAGAAAATATTTGTGTTCAACAGGGACCCATTGCAGTGTCAGAGGAATGATTTACAAATGCACTCACTCAAAGCTAGCCTTGTTAGCTGTGATTCTCAGGGGATGTTAAGGCCTGGGAAAACAGCCAGGACTATGTTTTAACACACATACAGTGCAACAAAACCCATAAAGGTATAATAAAGGAAAAAAGCAAACACAAGTTGATGAAACAGAACACTCAAAGTCGAGGAAAAAACTCAAAAATTGTAAGAAAAGACAAGAATGAAAAATATTAAATGTTGGCTTAGTGCAAAAAAATCCCTGATAAAGAGTGAAAATGGTCCAAATGTTGCAACTTCAGCTGCTGTTATGGTGTTAAAATAAACTCGAACAGACAAAGAGTCAATAGAAGTCGTTGGAAAAATATGAACAAAAGATAGAAAATGCAAAATATAGATGTTTCCATCCATTGCTGTTTGGTGACATATTGGAGTTAAACAGTTGGTGGCGCTTATTCTCCAGTCAACGGATAAAAACTGAAAATCCAAATGACGGATTTAAAAAAAAGAGAGTTAGACACAAACTTCTTTTCCCTGGGGAAAAAAAAGCAGCATGTATGAATTTATTTAGCCTCGTTTCCACCGAGCGGTCAGGTTTGGTTGAGAACAGTTGGGTAAATCCAGATCTTGATTTTCTTTCCACAACCAACCGTACCAGTTGGTGTAGTCTATTGTCTCTCAACTGGGGGTCGACCAGCTCGGTGGTGGGTCCTGAGGCTGGACCAGTTGAGAACCACTGGTGTGGTCCATCTTCATTGAGAGACTGCTTAATCATTTCCACTTTCCAAGTGCCTGTAAAATCTTTTCAAACCATGACCAAAGGCATTGAAAACAGGCTCCTTGCACCTCTAATGATTTTTTTAAAACGCAGAGTCCAACAAACAGGGATGGCCTTTAAATCGTTTCTTTATCGTGTTAGACCGCTGGCAAATCAAATGTTCCATTAAACTCCCCTTTGCAACAAATGACATTACAGAGTCCTGTGTTCAGTCTCCACAGAATCTCAGAGCCAAAATCAAACAGCTTTAGCCTTACAAGCTACACATATTATTTCCCTGTAGGTCGTCCTTCGACTCAGAGATTGTGTATCGCTCTCCTGCAGAGACATTCAATCCAAGCTTGAGGGAATGGAAACCCTTTTCTCCACTTAAAGCCTACTCCAGCAAAAAATAAACAAGAAGTCTGTGTGATGAATGAATCTCTGCTAAAGGGGCCGTGGGTTTGTTTATATATCACTTTCCCAAGAACCTCAGAGGGGCGTAAAATGGGAAGAAAAACTCAAACAACAAGCGATAAATAAACAATACAAAGGATGAGCTGTCTTTCTCTGCTATATCAACAACCTTTTAAATGTTCGGTTTATAAATCTATTAATAAAAGAGCAACAGGAAGTCAATCATCACTCAAATTGGGAATCCATTTCCCACAGAAACTTCCCTCGAGGTAGCTGTTAGAATATGTGTTTGTGTGAAAATCAGCCTTCGAGAACAGACAGGGTGATGTTGAATATGGTAATAGAAAACACACACACTTCTTGGGCACCATGTGTCCAGTCACCATCTCTCCAATTATTCTTGGTTTATTCAGAAGCTTGACACCGAGCTGGAGCTTTGTTTGGTCGGCCAATATGACAGTTTGCCAAGTTCTGTGAGACAACGAAGTATAGACCGGCATGTAGCTCTGTTTTTGTAGGTGCTTAATCACCTTTCAAAATAAAATCACACTTCTTAACACTTGAAGGGCGGGTGGTTTTGTGATCCTGGGATCACTGCAACTAGGACTGTGTGATCTGTACATGGATTACCCTCTCTACTAATCGAGCTGAACCAGGGACACTTATTCTTTTTTCTTTGGATTTGCAACTTTGAAGGATTTAAGAAAAGATGGTGATAAGAGATGATTAAGTAATGATTTAACAGCTATTTAGTTAACTCAAAAGCATTGAGATGGTTACTTTTTACTTTGATCGTTGTCCATTCAGTCAGTCGTAGTTTTAAAACCTCGATTTCTAAGATGTTGATGCCACTTCAAACTTGAGTCAAGTATCTTTGCCAACATGGCAGTCATAGACATTTCATAACTTCATGTCTCTTTTTTTCTCCAAAACTAACTTTTTTAGTTTGAGTATGTCTCTGCTTTTTAATTTGAAATGTATTGGCAAAGGCATTTCCTCCTCTTTATTTTTGGATAGATTTCCTAAAGTCAAATACTTGTTTTTTCTCTAAAGAGGATAAGTTGGAAGTATTCTGCCAGGCAACGGTGAGCCGACATTTGTGAAACTGGTGCCATCTGTATTAATTATGAAGATAGCAGAGCAGAGCCTGGTAATAATTTATCATCTTTCATGAGAATTAAACCAATAGCAACACGATGAATGTCTTTTTCATAAACAACAGCTCATGAAACGTTGACATTTTGACTGAGATATGTGAAGGGATGCAGAACTGTTCCAGAAATGTCAAGGTGTTTGAGAGCCAGCTGTCCTACAGCTCCGATGCTTTTAATTGATTGTATGTGCTGAGTTTTTATTTCCTGGCATTACTTGAGGAATATGCCATTACCGAGCCACATGGGGGCCGGTACCATTAAACTTTCATAAAGACTTTTATCAGACATTAGAAAAGCTTGCTATCAGCAGTCTGAGTCACTTTAATGAGTTCAGGAGTTACTTTATGTTCCATAAGTGCATGATCACCGGGTTGAATAGGAAGGTGGAGATGAGAATTGGCTTATCTTAAAATGTTGTTTTAAATCTAAAGATCTTTATACAAAGGATGCAATACTTCAATATTAGCAAGAATAGCAGGAAGTCACCAAACCAAAAGAAAAGATTGTTTCCTGTGATCGCAGACAGCACAGTCGATCCTTAGTGCAGATAAAACACAACAATGATCCTGTTAGGTTCAAATCTAAAATGAGTTTTCTTATCAGACTGTACTTGGAGAATAAATTCAATAAAAGTATGATATATAACTGGATTTTCCACTTTGATAAAGTGATATGCATTAAAGATAATGCTGACAGTATTTTCTTTTGTTTTACAGTGTATAATGTTTTAACAGCAGATACTGTAAATGTGCGTCAGTCAGAAACACTCTCGTCATGAATGTAACCATTTTAATGCCAAAATGGGAACACACCTTTGATTGGCGTTGGCTCTGCTCGAAGGATGCGCCTCGTGTTAGCTTCTCAGGGAGTGCCGCGCAAAAAAACGATATATTGGTCTGATTGGTTATTGTCTTCACGATAAAACGAGTTTTTATCCTGAAAGCTTGAAAATCTTTCACACAGCTTTAAGTCGGATCATTCCAGCCACAGTTAGGTAGCACCAAAGGTAATTATGTAGGAGACAAAAAGGTAGCTTCAAGGTGTCACACTACAGAAACAATTAGAACAGACTATTCACCGCAGCCTTTCATTAAATGATCTGAATACATTAAACTCCGGTATAGAAAGAAAGAACCCCTGACTGTATCTAGAGATCAGACTTAAGCTGTAAGGTCATCATCATCACATCACATGAACCTGTTATTTAAGGCTGCTATATAAGAGGCTTTAAATCATGAAGCGTAGGAGTTCATAGTATAGGGCTCCATGACCGTAATTACATGCGCACGCTAAGCTTAATATAACAGGCTGTCAGTGTATCAGGCGTTAAGAGTTAAAGTGGGCGTTAACCCTTTAGAGTTTATAGATGTGGCGCACACAGTCCACCTCATTGTGTTGACACAATGTGGGTGTCTTCTCCATTGTCGTCACTTTGATTATTGATTTGACGAGCAGCTGGTGTCTTTCTTGTTTGCGCACGAAAAGCGCATTTGGTTTCACTTCCTTTTTGTTTTTGTTTTTTTTAAATCTTTTTATTCTTTCAGCTCTGACTTCTTTCTTTCTCTTTGTGTTTGATGTACCTCGCCTTAAACAAACAGCATCCAAGCACCGGTGAAGCTCTGAGCCGAGCTTCTGTCTCAGGCTCATTATCGCAGTACTGCGGCCTTTACGCTGGGTCGGATAATCTCAGACAAAGCCATGGCAGGGACACACACACGCACGCACGCACGCACGCACGCACGCACGCACGCACGCACGCACGCACGCACGCACGCACGCACGCACGCACGCACGCACGCACGCACGCACGCACGCACACACACAGTAGTAGCACATCCATAAACAACACACAAGCACGTACACGCACAGGGAAGAAAAAAAAAATCACTATGCACGTGTGCACGCACATGCATGCCCCACTGAACTGGCTTATTTCAGATTAATCTCTACCTCTGTCCCTCCTCTAATCTGTCTGTCCGTGCATCTGCTTGAATGCTAAATATGCTCTTCTCTGAGCTCTCTGTTTCACCAACCTGTCAGCGTACTCCAGACAATAACAACTATTACATGTTTCTCCAGGAACAACAGCTCATTTGGAAGCAAAGAGAAGCCCCACATTTGGTTTCAATAATTGCAGTTACTCCATCTTTTCACAATGAAACTACGACACCATAGTCTGCAAATGATCAGATGTGTAAACCGGCTGATATTTCACTGTGAAAAGACATTTTTTTTCCCAAATGTCGTGACTCATCTGTCCTTCCATTAAAGGTTGCAAGCATCTCCAGCACATTATTATTAAACACACACCGGGGACTCGACCATTTTGTTGAGCAAAAGTGAATTTATGTTTTAGGACACAGCTTGCAATCCTCGCAGTTAAGATTGCACACATCCATCTCTGTCGACCTTTCTTCTAATGCATCGCTTCTTAAAGACAACACCGGTACAGCATGGTCAGCTATATTCACTTAAGTTTTACAGCTTAAGGAGACAGCGCTGAGTCTATGGACTTAGGACTGTGTGATAAAAAACCATCTAAACAGGTGATCATGATGAAGTTTATGTCAATAACAATGATTCCCTTTGGATATTCTTCTTAAAGACTAACACGCAGCAACAATAGCGCCAGCAGCCAGTTTGTTTGCGGCTTTTTGCTCACGCAGGAAGTAAACACGCCCACCTCAATGCATTGTTTGAGATCCAGCTGAAGAAAATGGTTGTGTTTAATGTCAAAGAGATAACAACACAAAATGTATGTACGAGTACGAAAGCAAACAAATGAGAAAGCTGCATTGGTGTGAGAGAAGCCAGCACTTCAACACAGCATGTTTCCTTATTGTCTGATGATATAGTGAGGTTGTTGTGTCATTTAATTCAGTAGATATCCGACACATTGGACCTTAAAAAAAACAGCTGATTACAAGTCAGGACGATGATTTTGTTGCCGCATGGGAAAAAAGTTAACTCCCCGTCGGGGAATCGAACCCCGGTCTTCCGCGTGACAGGCGGAGATACTGTCCACTATACTAACGAGGAAGAGATGAGAGGGAAGCCTGTGAGGAATGTGAAGTATTTACTACGGCGCTGTAAAAGCCACGTCGCACACACTCAAGCTTCTGCATCGGTCTTTGTGAGTATGAAGACCACCGGTGGGTCTGCCAGAGGGGCGTGCAAAACAGCTGTGTGTGGGGGTGCCTTGAAACCGCCTACTTCTCTGGTCCAAACAAATGCAGGAGTCAAAACTTAGAAGGAGGACATACAGGCTGCTGCGTTGTGAAGCCATTTCTGATTTTAGTAAAGAACATCCAGGATTGCACCATTCAATTATTTCACAAACATTTGGGGAGGAGGGGTCATAGAGGAAGCAGAGAGAAACAGGGAGGGGGGTCAGCTGTCTTTCTTCTTACCTCGGTCTCCATAGAAACCAGACAGACACATTAGGGGAGGTCTGATGATATAGTAAGGTCAGTTTATGATTTAACTCAGTAGAAATCGTACATATTGCTCCTTTAAGCATAATTGAAGCAAATGTTCTAATATTTTATGAAAGCATTGTGCTGCCCTACATCTACTGATGAATGAACAACTATTGTGGTTACTCAAGATCTAATCTAAGGGGTAATAATGGATAATGGATGTAAATTCTGGTTGGCGTTTTTTGTTTTGGATTTTGAAAATTTAAAAAAAAAAATCAGAGAATCAAAAAAGACCAAGTACTTTGAGTTTTCTGTTGTATCTTTCATCACAAGAAGTACACTGATTTACACAAGCCTTGATTGATATCTATTGTAAAACTATTAAAAGTAAACAAGACTGAACACAACACACCAAAGTGTTGTGAATAACATGGTTTGACTAGCAATGCATTCCTACCTCTCCCAGTTAAAGAGGAAACAAACACTCTTCCTGTGACATTTCAGTCCATCTGAAACAAGTGAAAAACACTTTTTTTTTTTTTTTTATGTCGTCAACAGGAAGTCGATATGCTCTCCCTCTGTACGGCCCTTCATTCAGTGACCTTATCAAACAACAAAGAACAGGCAGATTGGTGCTTGGCATCTATTCTCAACCGGGGAGCATACCAAGCATATTCACTGTGTTGACAAAGACCCGATCATCCACCAGGTCTTGTTCTCTTTCAATGTTTTTATTAAAGCCTTCCTGCTTTTCAGGTAATAAATGTGCTTGCCTTCACAGAAATCTGTTGTGAAACTACTCGGCTAAAGGACCAACGCGCCATTTCCCAAGAAACCCAACCAAAGGACAAATCAATATGAATTTACATTCAATTGATTTACCTTCCTGGAGAGCCCTCGGGGTGATTCCCTGGTGACAACATCAATAAAATATATATCGAACAATCTGTCATCTTCATTTCTTTAACCAGGTATTTTTTAACCGTTGAGCTCTTCTAAGAGAACTGCACAGAAAGGATTAAGGAAGTTTAATTCACCTACAGCAGATTATAGGATACAGCTTCATAACAATTTGATCACTTCCTGGTTGAGTACAAGGTTTCTTATTCTAGGTACAGGATGTAATCCATCCTCTGCGCTCCTAAGTCCATTTTGAGCTATATGTGACTTATTGCGTTGTATTATCATTCTTGGAAATCATGGCTACCAAACTAGAAATACAACTGGATTATCTCTGATTACGATAAACCTTTAACCTCAAAAAGTCAGAAATGGAACAATTAAATGGAGAAGATGCTGAAGAATATCTGGATTCAAGCTTATGTGAGGAACTTTCGGTTTGGCGCCCCCTGTGGACAAAGTGGTACATCTTTATCTATTTTTGCTGATTTTTCTGCTGACTTTTTTGTGTACCCAAAATCCCCGAATGCCTTCTTTTACCAGTCAACTATCTCATCCGCTGTAAATATTTAAAGATGAAAATGTAAAAAGGTTGTTTGCCATAAATCGTCTCATCTACCGTGTAGCAGCGGAAAAATGATAATATCGCAAAAATCAATCTCTTTCACTGATGGTCTCATTTCCTATTTCCTAAAGGTCAAAAAGAGGCAACACTGTGAACTGAAGTCTGTTTCATAACCAGTTATAAAGGAGAAGTTGGCTGTTTTTCTTTTTCTGTCAAACTGGACTTATGTCTTTTTGTTTACTTTCGTTGCTTGGCCACTAATAAATGTAAGCAGTAAATATTTCAGCTTGTTGCCAGACACTTGATTACTTCATCAAAACAAAAGCACAAGAGCAGATCCTGAGACGGCGTGTGAGTGATGTCTGACTGTATCTGTAAGTGCTCATAGTGGTATCTTAAATTTGAAATAGTTTCAACGTTAAATTAATACAAGATCTTGCTCTTGCTTTGCTCCCATTTTGTGCAGGTTGGCTATTTTTTTGTTTGCATTTAGTTTTTGTTTGTCAGACTTGACTCTGACTGGCACCCAAAAAAAATAAAACCTTGTCAAACCCGCTACAATCGACAACACTGGACAAATTCTTTGCACGTTTAAAGTAGGTGAACATCACAGTTCAAAATGTGTGTTACTTTTTTTCATAACACTTGTTTAAATGAAACGTTCAATCTCCATTATTTGAAGGATCAATAGTATTGAAAAGTACAAAAGCTTAAAAAAAAAAAGAAAAAAAACAGCTACAGACCTCCAGTCATATTTTTACCCAAAACTGCTGCAGGAGAAAGAGAGAGAGCACAGTCCAAATTGCACAAATACACGGGCAACGTTACAGTACTGAAATATTGCCAAAGAATTAATGCTATTAAGACAGTGTGCAAGATTTTGCTTGCAATTTTTGATTAATAAAAAACAAATAGTAACCAAATACTTTTTGTCTTTGACTCGTACTACAGTTTTTTTTTTGCCCTGCTTTCAGAACAGGTATCCACATTGTTTGAATTCTTCTATTATTGTATAAAAGTTTAAAATGCTGGTATGGTGACAACCCTGCATCATGCATTTAAAAGAAAAAGAAAAACTCACTCTTCTTTGCAGCGGCCATGTCCCAGGGATTGGTCCAGCACAGACTCACTTGGACACACACTGTCACAGCCTCGTCATGTCAGCAATCTGACCTCAGAACAACCCTGCAAAACACGCCAGGATGGAGGATACAGTGTGAGAGACGGGTTCAGCAAAATATAAAGAGAGCAGAGAGAGAGAGGCAGAGACTGTAGGCGGTGATTAAATCAAGAGTAGAACACTGAGAGATAAAGAGGAAGTAGAGGAAAGAGAAAAATAACAATCATCATTGTTAGCTTCCTGAGGTGTTTTTCTTTCTGAACGTCAGACCTCAGGTTTGCGGGTGTATCAGCTGACAGAACAGCTGTGTGGCAATAGTCCAGCGAGGGGAACTATCGACACCCGACAGAGAGTTCAATTAAAGGAAAACAACAGAACGGTGTAAGAGGATTAGCTGGGGGCTGAGGCTTCTGTTCGTTAGCTTCACACAGACAGAAAACATTAATAACACATCTGAGAGGTGCTTCAAATCGTAAAAAAGAAAATGTACAATCGAGAGTGCATTGATATGGCAAGATGAAAATGTCAGTCCATACTGTTGTTTTGAAGATACGACAACCGTTAAGTGGCCCGACTAAAGTTTATAATAACAGATAGTTTTAATATCAGATGTTTGGAAGGGTTTAGAAATTAAGTTTTCAGCCATATTGCAGGTGATGAATGTTTTAATTAAAATTCTTGCAACAATTCCCCAAAGCCAAAGTCTTTAAATTGCTTCTTTTTGTCCAGCAAACAGTCCGAAGCATAGAGTTTTTATGACGCTGTTATCTGCACGTCTAACACACTCGTATGAAAAATGACTAAAAAGAATGAACCAATAGCAAAACGGGACTAATGGCTGCAGTTTCAATCACACACTGTTTTGAGGCACAAGTGCTGTTAAAAGATTCAACCCATGTCAGTGTTCAGTGTGACAAGTTTCTCCAGAGCTGGAACTTTGACCTCGTTGCATCCTCCTGTGATCAAAATGGGAACAGTAGTTTGGTGAAATCCAAATTTCTGAGCCAGTAGAAATGGCACAAGTGGTCAAACTAACAGACACTAATATTTGCTTAATCGTGACGCAGTTTGCGCAAGAGTCTGGGCAGCAACTGAACTGATGCCATGTTTATTACAAAAGCCCACTGGTGCATTGTGGAAATCAGCTGGAGGGCATCTTTAACCCATCAGGCAGCAGAGAAAGCTTTAACCATTGGAATTCCAAAGAAGACTTGAAAATACACCACCAGAAAAAGTAGATTGAACATACAAATATGCCTCCATCGAGGTCTAGATTTATTGACTGATTGATCATAGGAGGGAAGGCATGACGTAAAAACATCTGATGCTATGATGACAATTTTCAAGCCCCCCCCCCCCCTCGCTTATGTTACATTTTTCTGAATATTTCCTGCCGTGTACTCACATCAGCTCACCCCAACATCACGTGGAAAATTTACTCGGGGTACTTCAGGGTAGAGTCGGAGTGGAAAATCCTGCATTTTGCGTTAAAAGATGCAGATCACACCGAAGAGTTCAGAAAGAAGTTTTGTGCAAGTGTGAAAGCACCATAACATAAAATAAAAACACAGCGTTTTCAATGCAATGGCACAGATCGCTGGTCTTAAAATCAGTCTTTGGAAAATTCTTCTTCAAATATTCCAACCGAGCAAAGTCAGCGTGTTACTCCAATTTATTCGGTTATTTTAATTTGGGAGTGTTTCAGTAACCTATTACGTATTTTTTGTACATTTCAAGACTGGAAACAAAACAAGAGATCAGTGCCAGAGTCTTTTATCGTCCACTGAGAAAAGTTTTGAATCAGAGGGCGATCCACTTTTGACTGTTCCAAATATAAGAGCTGTTTTGGGCACTGAAATGGGTCGCTATGATTGGAAATCCACTGAAAACTGGTTTAAAAAAAAAAAAACAGCCGAGAGAGATGTAGTGTGAGAAGAGAAAGTGAAGTATTTTTCATTAAATGGAAGCTTTTCAAATCTTTGCAATGTACAGATGTTTCCATAAATGACTACAGCGACAGATGTGTAGCTGTATCCAGTGACCACTAAGGCATACATAAGTAAGTAGGTATTCATATCAAATATATATTAATATCTTCTGACATCTTCTTCACACTTACATTGAAACAACGTGGTGCGGGACTCCTGTTAATAACACAACATTTGGTCTGATTTTTTGAAGACATCACCTTTCTTGTAGTCGTAAATAATTAGACCTCACTCCAACGTACACAGCTGAGAACTTGGAACGCATTCACATCATTAAAAAGGAATCCAACAGGGCAAAACAGACAATTAGACGGGATTCAAGCAAACACTCGGCTTGACCAAACTCATTTGGATGATAAAACATAGCAGAAAGATTAAGCTATTATTAACCAACCTTTCAGTTTGAGACATTTCTATGGACAAGCAAACCGCAGGAGATAAAAAAAATATGCGGCTTTTCTTGTCTACTCCTGAATGAGTTTTTAGAGTTGGGAGATTATAATGAATGTTAACAACTGAAGAGTGGGATTTCCTTGGCACACTTATCTGTTTGATTCCAGTATTATAGAGTTTCAGTCAGAAGCAAGGGCGGTGTCACTGGTTGCAAAGCTCAATGTAACATGTCAAGTTTCAGGGGGTGAATATAGGGAGGTCAAGCCAATTCAGGCGAGGTGGTAATATGCAACATCTGCACCAAGCAAGGTCCATGAATGTCAGTGAATGTAAGGGTTGACCTATAAACCAGCTGTTGAAGCAGGACAGGGAAGGTTCAGGAACGAAACCTGCCGATAGTAAGTCAGAGCCGAAGCTGAGTCGTCGATTCAGCTGTGAAAATAACAGCATGAAGAGAATGTGATGTGATCTACCCAACACACATCTTAAAGTAGTCTGGCTCACATTGTGCTTTGGTCATATGAAGGTGTTAACACTATCTGAATAATGTGGTTGGATCCATACCAACGTTTCCTCGCTGCTCCGACCCCGACGCAAGTTTTTCTCTAGAGAACAGAGACCCAAGTGACGATGATAATCATGCATTGAGACTATAAGTGTAAACACAACGGCAGGATTTGATTCCAAGTTATCCCAAAAACAAGTCAGATGGGTTTTAATACTGAAAGTAAATTGGGTAGGAAAAGATAGAAATCCGATAACCTTATGGGCATGACTTTCTTACACATTTTCACTGCTGCAGTGTACACACTTGTTTCTTCTACTAACCTTGAAGACTGAAGGCAGTAAGCACTGAATTTAATATAAACGCTCGCCCACCTTATTCATATCCTGACGCCCTCCCGAGCTTTGTCACTGACAGCTCTCCCTCAGCTCTGAGCCGCAGCCGACAAATTAAAATTGAAGATGCCACAGACGGCAGCAACAGGCTCCCATCTCTGCTTTGAATTTATGTTTTTGATATCTTAAGAAAGTGATTTGATCTCTGTGTGCGCACACAGCGAGAACAACGTGAAACAAAACCGGAGCTATAAAGTTCATATTGTCTCATTATGCTGTAAACCATGTGTAGCACTTAGCCTCTGTTCTTTATTGCATCTACAAGATACAAAAAAAATGATCAATAAAAATGGTTTTAAGACTTTTTTAAGGCAAAAATATGAACATTTTCTTCATTTTTTTCTAGGAAAGTGAATATCTTTGAGTTAAGAGGTTAATACATGTCCACCCTTGGAAACTGTGATGTTTTTTTGTTTTTTTTGCTGACCTTTAGACAAATCAATCAATCAGGACGATAATTAGCAAAGTGCCTGGAGACTCAAAATAGTCATTAGTGGCGGCCCCAGTTCAGTTCACTAAAAAGTGAATATAACATTTCAACACTCGTTCCAAATTTCACCAATCAATAAGCTGTGGACAAACTGGACTATAACCCTCAACATCTTTAATCCTGCTCAATACCACCATGTATATTCATCACATAATAAGTCAACTATTGTTGGTCTGTTTACACTGTTTGAAACTCTGCTTGTGAGCCAACCACTGTAAGACTACATGTTTATCCATTGGCTACGGCTTAATATAACTCTAAATATGTACAAATATTAGGCAAAAAAATTGAGCATGAGACTTTTTCAGATATATATATATATATTGTTGCCTACAGTAACATAAAAAGTGGCGGAGGAGGAATTCACCTGCAGTGTGAGGGTCCCACCACTAATAATAATAATAATAATAATAACAATAATAATAATACATTTAATTTGTAACGCACTTTACATTTTTGCAAAAAAAAATCTCAAAGTGCTACAGGAAAAAAAAATAAATAAATTAAAAAAAAAAAAAAAAAAAAAATAGAATAAAATAAAATAAAAAAATAAATAAAAAATAAAAATAAAATACTACTGTCACCATCATCAGTGTTGACTACTATTGCATATTACTATGGTTTCTTTGCCTTTACAACAATTTAAACTGTCCAAATGCATGTTATTGAAACTATTTTAGCTGTTAAATGCGCTTTATCTTGTTTTTTTTAAAGGTAATAACACAGCCAAACCCGCATTACCAGGCTATAATATGACGAAACACAACAACACGGTAAAAGTTTCTCTGATACGACACCACACCAACCACGTTAAGAGTCGCTACAGTAACACCACTTCAAAATAGCTTTATTAACAGGTATCATGGAGCAATAAACACAAATGCACATGTCAGGTAGTCGTAGTCTAGTGTAATCATAAAAAGTTGCCTTGCACACACTAACATTAACTGGAAAAGGTTCATTTTGTTGCTTTTATTTCCGTCACCCTTACCTTACTTTGTGCACGACAGGTGTGGTTCGTACACAGATAACCTCGCCCGTCGTTTGCTCGCCGGAGAAGAAGAGTTGTTTTGGGTACTGAGGGAGTCCAGCTAAAGCCACAAGCAGCTCAAAAACACAAAACCAACACGCCCGTCTTTTTTTCTCCGCCGCACTTTCTCTATCGGGACAATTTCCGCATTTGATCACGTGATTTCTCGCGGGTACCTGTGCGCTAACAACCTGTTTTAAAACCCTGTTCTGCTGTTCACCAGAGACACCTGAGACGCTCCTCTCTCTGCTCTGTGTTTCGCTGGGAGTCGTGGATCAAAAAGCCGGGCGTAATGGAGCATTTGGCGTCTTGCGCGCCTGATGCGTCGGTACTTTATTGTAATGAAACAGCGCCACCGTGTGGTGCTTTGAGCGAGAGGCGTGACAGACCTGGCCAGCTGCAGAATAATAGAATAGAATAGATGTTTATTGCCATTTGCACAGGTACAGGACAGTACAGGTACATTGGAATTCTTGTGTGTTTCTCCCTGAGTCAGCTTCTACAAAAAAAAAGTTAAAATTATTAATAAAGTAGAATAGCATTATAAGAAAAGAAGAGAAGAAAGAGACAAAAAAAGTAAAAGTAAAAATAAATAAGTTGTAGTAACAGCTAAGTGATTTAAAATAAACTGTACAGAAGTTATACACTGTATTAAAGCAAAGATATAATACAAAAAAAATAACAAAGGGGAACACTGTACAATGAAATGAAAATATAAATATGTTTTCTTGTCTCTAACTTTCTACATCTCTTATTGCACCTGAGGTTATTGCACACATATTTTTCACATTATATAATTGCACAGTTTTTTTGTTTTTAAGGTTAATGTTGCACACTTGTATTGCACTGTGAGGTGGTCAGCTGTCCATTTAGTCTGTGAGGTGTTGGGTGAAGTACTTCTTTCCCATCTTAATGTCCTGTGCTACGAGTCTCACGGCAGCAGGGAAAAAGCTGTTGTGGTAGCGGGCCTTGTGGGTGGAGATGCTATGAATGTATGTTGTTGTTTTTTTATCCTTTAACCACTTGTTTCTTTTTATTTAATTTATTTTAATTTATTATTATTATTATTATTTTATTTTATTTTTTTATTTTTTTATTTTTTTATTTTTTTAATTTTTTATTTCTCTTATCTTCTTATTGCTGTTATCTTTTATTTGCTTCTTACATCTTTTTAAATCTTTGCTCCTCTTGGTCTCAGCTCGTGTTGTTGGGTTCTTGTGTTTCCTGGGTTCTTATGATGGTTCTTATGATGGTTCTTGTGATGGTTCTTGTGATGGTTCTTATGATGGTTCTTGTGATGGTTCTTGTGATGGTTCTTGTGATGGTTCTTGTGATGGTCGGGTTATATATGTCTGTTGGGTATCGTGCACTTTGGGTTCTTTTCTGTTGAATTGTATTTCATTATTTTTTGTATTTTACATTTGTTTGTTCTTGCTGTTGTTTCTGTTCTTCTGTGTTTGGTTTAGTTTGCTTTGTTCTTGTTTTTGCTGTTTGTCAAATCACTTTGTAAACCTGTGTTTTTAAAAGGTGCTATATAAATAAAGTTATTATTATTATTATTATTATTATATAGACCTAAATAAACATTTGCAATAATAAGAAGCCTACTCGTTTAGGAAGGAAACCAAATTAATGAATGTAAAGCGTCTTCAGTGTGGATAAAGTTTTGGACGATTGAATTGTTTTCTTTTACCCAGCAGCCCCCCTTCCTCCTCTCCCCTTTCAACTCTGCCGACAGAAGAGAAAAGTCGGGTCAAGTGTTGCACCTCAAAAGTTTGTTTAAAAATGTGTGTCAACATAGTTAGTTAGTTCCTCAAATATAAATATGTGGAAATGCATCTTGTCAGGCTCGTTTTGGATATCTTTAATTGTGTTTTGCTTTTCACCTGGACCCCAAAACGTCGAGTTGAACACCTTAACCAGCGAGCCACCTTTACGGCCTGCTTTCACGGTAAGAGTGGGAATTTCAAAGTCATTTTAATTATTGGTTAGAATAACACGGTAATAGCAAATAATAAGGGGTGCAAAAGGTAATGACCATGTGGTTTTATCGGCTAGAAAAAATGTCGGGTGTGTAAAAAAAAAAAAAGTCCTTTGCTCGCTTACTGCATTAATTAACATCAATTAACGTTAATTGAGTAATTAAAAGTCAGACGGTGAACTATCTTTTGTTCATTTGCTTAGGTTTTGTGAAATATAATGGTCGTGCTGTGGACTAATGTTGAAATTAAGATTAAATGGAGAGGGAAAAGGTTAAAACTGCTTGACTTGGCTTCAGTACCTGGTTAATGGCGCACTACATTTGGGGACTCATTGGAAGCCTTTAGACGAGCCAACAAAATATATTGTTTTTGTGTTTTACTTTCTAGGTATAGGCCTACTTTGTTAAGTGGAGCAGATGGGAGCAGATGACAGCAGCTGAAACAGATTTAAGGTAAGTGAAATTAATTTGACTCAGTCCTGACTGCATGCTTTTTGTATCATGTTCATTGGAGAGCAGTTGTTATACTGTTAAGTGTTATGAGGCTTTCTAAATTGTTTTACAGAACCTTTAAGATACACTATTTTACCAGTGATAATATTCACATCAAACTACATCTAAAAATACTTTGTGTTTCTTTTTCACTTAATTTTTTAGATCTATATTTTTTTGTATAAACTTTACTTCTTTACTTACTTTCACTACATTCCCATCCACAATGGGGGGGGGGGTCCCAGCATTATCAAACCTAATTTCTATTTCTTTTGCTGAGCGAGTACAGAACAAAAATAACACAAGTACCCCTCATTTTGCTCGTCTTAGTTTAGCTATGTCATCTTCATTAAATTGAATATATTATTTATAGGAAAATTTAGACAAGCAGACATATAGAGATAGATTAATTGAACATTACCAAGGTAGATACATGCATACATACATAACCCACACAGATATACCCCCTCATATAAATAGTGGAATAGATACTCTTCCAATGACACAGCACCAGGTAACAATCGAGATATCTTCCACACAGCCCTGTTCACATAAACTACCTGACAGAAATAGCCATGGATAAACCCCCTACCCAATGTTCCTGTAAAGCACAAAACTATAACAAGTTCCCTTTGGCCTTAGTATGCCATGTTCTTTCTCGGGGGAAGATTTTAACCAAAAAAATAGAGATTTATATGCACACTTACATTAATAAACCATCATCATATTTATTTTATTTTAAGAAAATCTCAACCTAAATAGCCACGCTTAGCCCTTAAATACTTAGATTTAATGGAGAGTTGTATGGTCAACACATGACTCATAACAGACGACTTTAATCATAACTGACTTTTTAAACTTTGTGGCCCTACATTAAAAACAAAATAGTTTGTTCGTGGGAAGGCTTTAAATTATGCGACTGTAGTCCTCCAATGAGAGAAGCTTTTTAAACCCCTCCCCCGAAGTGGTGCACAGCAGCCCGGCTAGCTCAGTCGGTAGAGCATGAGACTCTTAATCTCAGGGTCGTGGGTTCGAGCCCCACGTTGGGCGCAGTACTTTTTTTGTTTGTCATGTTGTCTTGAGGTTTTTATGCTGCGACTATTATGTCTTCTTTATTTTTTTTTATTTTAAACAAAAGTCCAAATGGATTGGATGGCTGTCTTTTGTATTATCTAAGATTTTTGTGATGAGCGTAATAGAAAAGGTACGTCCCTGGGTGGGCTTGAACCACCAACCTTTCGGTTAACAGCCGAACGCGCTAACCAATTGCGCCACAGAGACATGAAGCCCCCTTCTCCACGTCTTCATTAAAAAAAAAATTCTGTGGTAAATAGCACAGTTTAGCTAGTTTGAGTTTCTACAAAGAACATGGCAACTTAATAGATTCAAAGCATGATGTCCTCTAATGTGTCTGGACTTGTTCAGGTTCAGGTAAAAGTTGTCATGTAGCATGTAGGGGTCTGCCTTGTGAACCACATAGACTTGGGTCAGTACTTTTGCAGGGAGAAAACAGACCCAACGTGAGCCTAATCGAGGTCTGGCCTTGGGCACCGTAGGGCTCGGGTCAGGTCGGGTTGCAGACGTCTACTTTAAACTACCAACGCAGTCCCTCCAGAAACTTGCAATATTGCAATCTCGACTACTAAAGCAAATTCAACAAATCAGCGCAATTTGGCCCTGCAATTTTGTAGAATATCTGCAACACCCTTTAGTCTCCTCTCCCCCTAACCCCAGCACGTTTTCATATACGTCGTCAAACTCTCGTCATTGTTGTTGGTTGAGAAGATGAGGATGTTCAACTCGAAACACTTACATTTACCTACAAATATTACCACTAAATGATGTTTTGCACCACATAAAATAATGTGGTGAAGCACAAACGAAAGTCATCACTCGAGAGGCACTTTTCTACTGCAAAACACGATGTAGGAATATTCACTTTTAGTTTACACTACAATTCTACTACAATTCACTTACCAGACGCTTTTATCCAAAGCGACGTACATCAGAGAGTAAGTACAACACAAGCAAGGATCTAGAAAAAAGGGAACAATGTCAGTAAGCGCAAACAATCAGCTTTGAGTCTGATTGGACACACAGGTGCTGACAGGCATTGCACAGAGGCAAAGCACAACATTGATTGATTTGAATTGCCCCCCGGTGACAAATAAAGTTTTTTTGAATTGAATTGAGTTCTTGAGAGCTCTAATCAGTATAGAAACCGTCTTATAAGTCATCGTTATCAAACAAAAACAATCGTCACAACCATCATCATCATCAATAATATCGAGACCATCATCATTAAGTTAGTAGGTATTCATGAAAGAGCTGGGTCTTTATCTTTTTCTTAAAGGTGCAGAGGGACTCTGCAGATTGAATGGAGTTTGGAAGTTCATTCCACCATCGGGGGGCGACAGAGGAGAAGAGTCTAGTCAGAGACTTAGGACCCTGTTGTGAAGGTTGGATCAGACGCCTTTCATTGGCAGAGCGTAGTGGGCGGGAGGGAGTGTAGACCTGGATGAGAGAGTTAAAGTAAGGAGGAGATGTTTTGTGTCGCTGTTTTGGAAGCGAGCAGCAGAGTTTTAAATTTGATGCGAGCAGTAACTGGGAGCCAGTGTAAGGAGATGAACAGCGGAGTGACATGTGCTCTTTTAGGAAGGTTTGAAGACCAGTCGTGCTGCTGCATTTTGTATCATTTGCAGGGGTTTGATAGAGCATGTAGGAAGACCTGCCATTAGAGAGTTGCAATAGTCGATGTGTGATATCACAAGAGCGAGAGTCTAGCACAAGCTTAGAGACTTCATCCTCAGTC